TTTGTATGGTCTATGACTGGTCTAAGTTTACACAGAATATTTACAATGTGTAGGACTTCGTAGTAAACAACAACAAATTCTAAACTATTATATATTATTACTGTATAGACGAACCTCTCTCCATTGTGCTATTATTTACCCATAGCCTCCGTGCCCACAGCCGATGCAAAATCAAGAAGTACTCCGCATGGGCGACGATCATTCGTTTAACCATGTGCTTGTTGCGCAGATGGATTTATGCTTTGCGCTGATTGGCTATGCACGCTCCAGGGTTTTAGCATTGTAAACCAGCCGCCGCACTGCTGCCAGCCTTTGATCGCGAGTCCGCAATACACGAACGAACGTATAAGACGTGATTCTTTTCTGTGCTGCATATAACTGATGAAACACTTTCAGAAGCACCATGAACGTCATATTTGGCGGATACCGGCGCTATATAAATGTTCTATTCTCATCTATTCAAACAGATAACTTACAAACGCAAAGGATGGGTATGATTTAAACAAATAAAACAACAACCACATTAGACGGACATGAACGAATTTATGAACGATATGACGGACAAGATTTAAAAAAAAATTAAATAACGAAAACATAAGACGGACATGAAAAAATTCATAAAGGAACGAACGTATAAGACGGACATGATTCAAACAATAAAACATAGCCAACATAAGACTGACATTTCTCAAACAAATAACAAACGTATCGGACGGACATAGACAAATGATACTGTGTAGACGAATGAATAATTTTGTAATGAACAAAATATTTATGAACAAAAACAAACAAATATGAAACCAATGGACGGTTTTACAAATGAACATGTACCGGTACGCATGTAAAAAGTGCAAGTTGTGATGATATATCGCTTCTGTCTTGAGGGATACCAATTGAAAGTATCCCTTCTTATTTTTTTTCTTTTTTGTATTTGGGGGTGGAGGGGTGGCGTTATTTTTTTGTTTTTTTGTTTTTTTTCACCATCTTCAGTACAATTCTGTACAGTACACATCATACGGGAAAAAATTGTTGAACCTCTGTTTGGCAGCTTCATCTCGCCATTTCCTCACTTGCATTAGGTGAATATAATCCACATCCCCTTATCTTCCAGCCACATCAGCAGGTTGTCAGCAGCGTTAAAATCTGTTGATGCGTTGACTCTTTGAGGTGACTAACTTCTTGTTCATCATAAGATGAATCGTGCTCCTGCGATGTTTCCACACCACTGATGATTTGATCATCCGTTAGCCACTTATACCCTGGATCGTCTGCGTCTTCAGTCAGCCATTGAACAGGTCCTATCTACTCGCTATCATCGGCTTGGTATCCGAGTTCTTCAAACATTATTCCGAATTCAGCCGAGTCACCGTCATCATGATAGTTTCTTTAATAAGGATCGAAGTCGTTGTTCGGCTCTTCTCCCAGAAGTTGTCGCCAGCTACGACTTAGGTTTTTATTTTTATTTTTTTAAACATGATATCAATAAAACGTTTTAAGTCAAAAGTGTGATTGTGTTATTCATTCAATTGTGATCTTTTCTAACATATTAATTAATATCTTAAATTCCTGTTCAATTTTTAATTTCCATTTTACTTATAAATTCCAATATCTGTCTCTTATACACATCTTTCAGCAATTGTTCAGCAATTCAATCAATGTTCAATAATCAATGTATAATCAATGTTCATTCAATGTTCAATAATCGACTTTCAGCAATCAAATCAATGTTCAATAATCAACGTTCAGTAATCCAATCAATGTTCAATTAACGCTTGCATTTCTTTTCTTTTTTTTAATTACTGTGCAAACATAGAGCTATTGTATTTGGGATTTGGTTTGACAGTTCGTCCACTTCGGGTTCTTGTTGGCTGAATCTGTGTTGGATTTTGTAGTAGTTCTTCACGAGGCTGAATTTGCATTTGTGGTTTTGGGTTGTGTATTGGCTGTGTGTCCTGGAATTGTAATGGTATATAAACAGCTTTTTGTATCGGCTTATTTTCTGTTACAGGAAGCAGATATTTTCTGTTTCTTCTTATTTGCGTTTCACCGGTATTGACCATATAGGATCTTTGCTGTTCAAGAATCTTGCTGATCGTTCCCATGCGATCATGTCCTTTCTTTGTTCTTATTCGAACTGTCTGGTTTTGTTGAAGCGCTGGGAGTGCGCTTGCCTGTGCTTTTTCGTCATAGTAGCGCTTCTGTTATTTTCTCTTCATTTCTAATTGATTTCTTACAACTTTTGTATTGATTGGTTTTGGTGTCAGTAAGAATTTGTTTGTGTAGAGAGGATTTCTAGTTGAATGTGATAGTAGTCTTTGTGCCGGTGATTTGAGAACATTATATCTAGGCACATTGCGTAAGTTCAGAAGATTTTGATAGATATCTGATCCATCTCTTTGTGTCTTTTCTAACAACATCTTTGCCTGCTTTAATTACCGCATTCTCTGAACGGCCATTTGATTGGGCATGTTCAGGACTACTCGTGATGTGAACAAAGTTCCATTCTGATGCGAACTGTTTGAATTGTTGACCTGAATACTGACCTCCATTGTCACTTATGAGAATCCGCGGTGTACCATGGGTAGCAAAGTGACGCTTCAGTTTCACTATTACCGTGGCTGATGTTAAGTCAGTTAAAGTATTCACTTCAAACCATCCGGAATAGGAATCTACGAGTACCAGGAAATGCTTATTGTTCCACTCAAATATATCTGTGGCAACAATCGACCATGGTAGATCTGGAATGTTATGTAAAAGTAAGGGCTCCTTGGCTTGATGTGACTTTAGGGCATTACATACCTGGCAGGATGACACAAACTTGTTTATGTCATCGCACATTGATCTCCAATAGACAATTTCCTGTGCTCTGCGTTTTGTAGCTTCTATTCCAGGATGTCCTTTGTGTAGTATTTGTGTATATGATGACTGGAGAGAGGTAGGAATTATGCTTTTATGTCCTTTCATAACTATTCCATTGTCTACTGAGATTTCATCTCTGAAAGTAAAATAACTTCGTATTTCTGAAGGGCACGACTTTTGAGTTTTTGGCCATCCCTTAAATATTGTGTTAATTAACATCTGTAGAGTGCGATCCTCTTTCGTTGCACTTCGCAGCTCTTCCTGTTTAGCATCAGAGATGTGCGATACTTCCATGACTTCATACAGATAATCATCATCACCAGTATCTGTAGTAGGTGCTCGTGATAAGGTGTCTGCCAAATATAGCTCAGCACCTTTCTTGTATACCAACTCAAAGTGGTATCTTTGTAACTGCATTAGTAATTTCTGCAGACGAGCTGGCGCTTTGTGAAGTGGCTTCTTCACAATGGTTATCAGTGGTTGATGGTCTGTTTGTATGGTTATTTGTTTCCCATATATGTACTGATGGAATTTTTTTGTTGCAAACACAATGCTTGCGCTGTTCGGTTTCTGTCACTGTTCGTGAGGCAAATGCTATTGGTTTACCATTTTGGAGGCATGCACAGCCTAAAACATACTGGGATGCATCGCATGTAAGGGTTATGTGTTTGGTCACATATGCAAGGACTGGTGGGCTTGTTATCATACTTTTAAGCTTCTCAAAAGATTCCTGCTGATGTGGTTGCCAACACCATTGCGTGTCTTTGTGTAACAACTGCCTTAAGGGTGCTGCTACTTCACTAAAGTTCTCTATGAATTTCGAAAGATAGTTTGGCATACCAAGAAAACGGCTTAAAGCTTGTGTATCCTTGGGAGCTGGCATCTGCCATATAGCCTTTATCTTCTCAGGATCAGGTTTTATAGCATTGTCGGTTAGAAGGTGTCCAACATAGGAAACCTGACTCTGTCGAAACTTGCATTTGTTCTTATTCAAGCGGAGTCCAACCTTCTGAATTCTCTGTAGCACCTCCTTTAAATTATTGTCATGCTCGTCTAAATCTTTACCAGTGACTAGCAGGCCATCCACAATTATCTCACAAGGATATCCTTCAAAGAGTATTTCCATTGTGCGTTGAAATACTTCTGATCTACTATTAATACCATCTCTGTAGCACTTCCTTTAAATTATCGTCATACTCGTCTAGATCTTTACCAGTGACTAGCAGGCCATCCACAATTATCTCACAAGGATATCCTTCAAAGAGTATTTCCATTGTGCGTTGAAATACTTCTGATCCACTATTGATACCATATGGCATTCTAAGATACCTGTATCGGCCAAGGGAAGTGTCAACTTTGAAGATTCTTCATCTAATGGTACCTGCCCAAAAAAAAAAAAAAATTAGCATCTAAGACCGTTAATACTGTGGCATTGGCTAAATTTCTAGTTATTTCCTCAACAATTTTCATTGGGTGATGGAGTCTCTTCAGAGCACCATTTAAATCTCTTGAATCTATGCACAATCTAATTTCTTCAGTGTTCTTTTTTCTTGTTGCAACCATTGATAAAACCCATGTTATTGCCTCTTCTACAGGAGTGATGACGCCAATTTTTGTCATTCGTTTAAGTTCTTTAATTACTTTGTCCTCCATGGGCTTTGGAACTTTCCTTGGTGGTCTTTCCACTAACGGTACGGTACTGAAGGGTCTACAGACATCTTATATTTCATCAGTAACTTGCCCAAATCGTCACCAAAAACATCCGAAAACTCTGTTAGTTCTGGAATATCTTGTGTTACGACATGCACCATGTCTGTCTCTTATACACATCTAGATGTGGTTTAGCAACTCAAGTTTTAGAGAATCTGCTAATCCAATTATGGGAGTGTAATCACCATCAAGAACATAGAATTTCAGTTGGTGTTGTTTTCCCGCAGAATCTATCATTAATCTTGCCATTCCCAAAGTAGTTATGGTATTTCCAAAATATGCTACCAGATTTGGCTTTTCTGATTGGTCTATGTCATTAGCAGCTTTAATATTTTGCAGAGTATTTAGTGGTATTACATTACACTTAGCTCCAGTGTCTATCTTTAATGTGAGAGGGTGATTGTTGACAATTACAGTTGTTTTTATTACATTTTTACTGTCAACTGTATCAATTCATTTCATTTTGTGCTTCTTCTGTTGCGATATCATACACTGTCTGCTTATTAGTATTAGGCTTTTTTTTGTATCTTTGTTTCCCTTGGGGTTTCTTGTAAGTATGCTTGTGTTGTGCACTAGTACCCCTAGGTTTTATACACTGTGTTCCAAAATGTTCTAAAATTCCACATCTGCTGCACTCTTTGTTATGTGCAGGACAATTATATCGTGGATGAGATGCCCCACACCTTCCACAAACTTTACTGTGCTGCGATTTGGTTTTTTCAAACATTAGTACGTCGATTGTCTGTGACAATTGTTTGTTTGCATTTTCTGTAGTTTCATGAACCAGGCATATCTGAATAGCTTTATCCAAAGTTAATTCACTCTGAGATAATAACGCTTTTCTCACTACTTCTTTATCAACACCTCATACGATCCTATCTCTTATTAGCTCGTCAGTTATCGGACCAAATTCACAACTTTTAGATAGGGTTTGCAGCTTAGCTAAATATGCTTGAACAGGTTCATCTGGTAATTTAGAAAGAGTGTTGAATTTATGCCTTTCTGGTATAATATTCTTTCATGGTAAGCATAAGTCACAACATTTTTTCTTTAGGTCTGCCAGTTTTTCAGGGGACTCAGCTGGAGTAACGTTGCCGTCAGCATCAGTAATTGCAGGTTTGTAGGTAAAACTCCTACTTTTTTCAATGGCATCTTGGCCTGCAACATTTAATAATATGTATGCTTTCTCTCTGCCTAATTTATTTCCATGGGCGGCTTCAATATATATATATATCGAAATCTAGTTCGAAACGTCTCCAGTTTTCAGCTACGTTTCCTTGAAAGGAAATCGGATCCAGTCTACGTATCCCATAGTCGGCCATGTTGCTATGGATGGGCCTAGCTGTACCCAAGCAGCAATAATGTATACCATCGTACTTTACTATACAAATGTACCTTCAATATGTGAATCCACTAAAAGTTGATTATTTTCCTCAACTTCTGACACCATGTAAGTTATTGACCAGCCTGAGGCACTTCGTAGATTACTAGGATTGTTTATTGAGGTACTGACCGACATACATGTATGAGATGGGTAACGCACCGAGAGGGCGTGCTTCAAATTAATACAATGTTCTACAGCATCCATTAATGCCGAATGTTGGCTATAATATGTAACCGGCAAGCGAGACATGTCTTCATTTTTATAGCATCTTGGTCGCTTCGATTTGTGTATGAATAAGAGAGGCAATTTGCACGTCCCTGAGGCATTGGCACAGCCCATGATGTTACCCTGTCCTTTGATTTTTTAAAGTTTTTCGCATTTTGTTCGTTTCGTAAAACCAACTAACGATTAGGCCGCCACCAAAGACCTGTCTCATCGGCGTTAAAAATTTTATCTCTGGTCAGCTGATTTTCATCAATGATGCCTTCAAGTTTGGTTTTGAACGGCTCAATCGAGTTAACATCAGCTGATTTGCATAAATCTGTGTATTGCTTCATGAATAGAACTAACAATAGTGTTTACAGTCTGGTATCTTTGTCAAAGTTAATGCTCTGTTTAACTCCAAAATTAGTCTTACTTGGAATGAATTGCTCAGAGGCTAACTTTCTTAAATACAGTAATTATTTAAATCACCTTTGGTGCCAGGGTGCCGCGTTTTGGGCACGAGGGCTGTGGAATTAGATTTTGATTGCTACCCCGGGATGTTTAGATTTTGTCTTTGTCTAGCTGATTTTGAATATTGTGTCTGTGTGCTATATCAGATTTGTTTTTTCCCCTACTTTTTCTAGGTAACTTTTTTTGATAAACAACTGTATTATTCAATGGATTCTTCAGCTAACTAAGGACTGCATTTATTTAATTGATGCTTTTGTTAATCATCAACTACCTTATTCAATTGATGCTTCAGCTATGACACTGACACTCTTATTATTTCGAATGATACAAAAGCATACTATTTGGTATATGGAAAACTGTGCAGCTGAATTGAAGTACACCCTCTTTACAGTATTCAGGCACAAAGGCATTTGAGACGTTACAACATTTCATCCAGTAATAAACATTAGTCTATTGGTACATTGTAGTAATGCCCCTACTTTGCCTATTTTCATCAGTTGATCCGAGATGAAGATTCACATCCTGAATTCCTATGAGTACTGGAAGCAAAGCAAAGTTCATTGTCGGTTTTTGGTATTTATTGGCTGATTATTAACAACATAATTTTATTTGTTTGCAAAACAGAAGAAAATTAAATAGTCCAGCCTTAAAGCCCTAATATTTCTTTTGTATAATTTTTGTTTTGTCATTTATTAGATATGAATTTAACATGCAGTATTTTGTATCAATGTGTTTATGTATTTGGAAAACTTAGTGATAATATTGTAAAGTAGCAGTGAAAATCAAAACACAGGCTTGACCCTTTCTATACAGTTCTATATTTCATTTTCTACTACTATTTCTTTAGGAAGACTAGCAAGAGTGACTGACATAATCAGTAATTTGGATAGAGTGTGATACAGAAAAAAACTCTACAGTATAGAGATTTCAGTTTGACGAAGCATGCAAAAGCTATCATAGATATTCAACTGTATTAGCAAACAATAACATTGTTTACATTTATTACAATGGTCTGATCTCAATGAGGCTCTATCCAGGAAAAAAGTACTTTATAAAAAAATATAGGGGGTGGAGGTAGGGTGTTTATTTGTCATTAAGTGTTGAATAACATTTTTTTTTGTCAAGGTTGTTGACTCAGGACTAAACTTTCTATTTTGATATGAATAAAAATTGTTACTGTAGCAGTAATTGTTAATTCCAGGAGCAATTTACAGAAACTAAAGGACAACAATAACTTATTACATTACAGGCAATATAAAGTTCAATGACATAATAATAGTATTGTCTGGTAGATAAATTATGGTTTCCCAAATTGCCTTAATATAGTTTAATCCTTATTTATAAAAAAAATTATATCATGTACATATTATATTAATACATGTAAGCCAATATACAGTATATGTTGATTGAATTTCTAACAAAAATTGATATTTTATTCTGAATGGTTTAACAGATATGAATATGTTTTAATAATCTTAATATTGGCCAAATTCCTTATACTTTTTTAAAATACTGTATGTTATTT